GACGAGGGAGGATGTCAAAGCCAGGATCAGAAAGACAGCAAGACAGGCATTCACTAATCTGAAATCAGTGTGGAGATCGACTACACTCAGCACAAAGAACAAGATCCACATTTTCAACACCAATTCAGTCAAGTCAGTGCTGCTACCTGGTTGAGAGACTTGGCGCGTTACGAAAAGCACTTGCAACAAACTACACACATTCATCAACAGCTGCCACCTACTCTCACTCGATACTGACACTGAAGATCAGATGGATAGCCAGAATAATACGAACAAGCAACAAGCAACACGGAACAAGGAACAAGGAATCCTGGCTGGTTGGCAACAAACCAACCAACAACCCATCACCCAATAAATATGCAGAGGAAAGTGGAGATGGACTGGGTTGGATTGGAGTGGATTGGACACACACAGAGAAGACTGATTGGGGACATCGCGCGTCGGGTCAGTCAGTCGATTGGAATTTGAAAGGGGCACGACGAGTTGGGTGTGGTAGGTGAGTGTGACATGGAGGAGATGGTGTGGAGAAGAAGTGAAAGGTTGTGGGTAATCGTGGAGTGAAGTTGAAAAGACTACAGAGAGTAGAGTGAAACATCTATGTGCTAGTGAATCCCTATATTCCACTGGAACCCAAGGGAAAAATATTTATGCACATATATATATATATATATATATATATATGCACACATATTGGAATGACGACTGAAGTTGAATAAAAAATTTTATCACTGTAGGGTTTGAATCATTCGTCTATATCGGCGTTGTCAAAACGCAGCCACACGGTCAGTCAGCCAACTAGCAAAATGAGGAAATCAATAGCGAAATTGGAATCACAATTTAGTTAGTACCTGAGGGTCATAAAACACCTGACTAGTAATTTAGATTGAAGATGCTAATTACTTTATCAATGAATATTCTACGAAATTTACTTTCTAGATAACATAATGTAAGTCTTAGTCTGAGTTTCGAAGTCCAACTACCAAGCAATAACTTGAAGAGATTTTTTGGCTTTAGGTTCTTTATGCAGAACGTTTTCTATTGTCTTTGCACGTGGTCTAAGAGTCTCAGTCTCTCCATCAAATTTCGATCAACGAATATTGAACGAGAAGCATGTTTGAAATTTGAGCAAGTCAAATTCTTTCTGATACCTTAAATAATGTCAATCTAGTATATTTCTATGGAAACACATTTGACTGAAATCCGGTTATCTTAACTCAGGACTAAACTACTAGGTTTGAAAATTTCAAAATAACTAACATGTACATGAATTCATTTTTTTTTAATCATCATCAGTCAGTTCATCATTTAAGATTCTTTTTATTTTCAGGCAATCATTCTACACTGCATACGTTGGTGTATTTACGATATACTTTGCCACTGGACGCCTTTTTTAATGTCTTGATACTGTACAGTTTCATGCCTTACTGTTGCTTTTCAACTTAATGTTTTGTTGCAGCAACAACCTCCTACTAAATACTTTGCCTTATCTGTCTTCATACAGTATGATTCCAGTGAATTAACAGTGTTCGGGTTATTGGTAAGAGTGATAATATTAAGGGGGCTTTAATATGGAGATTGGATTCACATACATGCCCGATAAGTTGATTGACCTAATGCTTAAGAAGTTGGCTTCGCGATATGTACCTCATAATTGCTATGGGAAATTAATCGTGCTTGATAGATATGCCATGTATATTTCGACTCATTTTTAACGATCTAGTTCCAATTTTATCTTCTATTTCTTCTGGTAAGCACTTTATTCGCATCTCCATTTTCGATATATTATTCCCCCAGACTTCATTTTGCTTATCAATTTCGCTTTAATTGGTATTCAGAAAGTAATGTTTACACTCATTTAGAACCACAATCTGTCGGTCCCGTCTCTTTTGATTTTCGTACTTCTCTGCCTAGACACACTCACCTATGGACTGCTAAAATATAAAAATAATTCACTTCTGACAAGATTACTTCAGACAGTGTGAAATCTCGTCTTCTCAACAATTTCCTACCAGATGACATTACATGCCAGTAGCAACCCAGGACAGACTTTCTGTACAAAAACCTTAAGTAGGCAGCCATTTGAACTATCATTTTCTCCGAAAACAAGCCTCAGATGAACTTCCAATCAAAGTGGAAATAAAAGACAAGGCTTTTTTACAACTTGCAAGACATACACACTTTAGGTGAGAGTCAAAAAGTAGACAAAAGGCTTTTGTACCAGATAAGTCTAAGTTGTGTGCTAGCTGGCATTCAGCTGATCCTCATCCTTTGAACTGTATCTCTTCAGGCTGTTGATAGGTCTAGTATTGTTACGCGTGACGCGTAACGTTGAATTTTAGCTTCACTATCTACGCTGTGCCCCACATACTGACAGATGTGTCCCTACTTATCACTGAGAATGACTTTCTGCAATACTATTGACTTTTATCAGACCTGAAAAGCCATAAACTTATTGATTCTAACAAGAAAATCTACAATGTTGCTCAGGATCTACGGACCTAGTAGCTACTAGTGCACCCTCTCCTCTAACTACTGATTCTCTGCATCCTATTTCTGCTCACTGCTACTTGACTATTGCCAAAAAGACCTGAAGCTTGACGCTGCACACCACATCAGAACAGACAGGTCAATAGTGGTTGCAGGTCCCAGATGCAGTGATCCGCAACGATTTAGTTTATCAAGGTAGAATTTGACAAAGCCCTTCAGCATGGAATAGTTCGACTGTATTGTAATGCATGGTGATCACCACTCCATATAGTTCCATATAAGTCTTCTCTTAACAATCACCTTTGTCCAACTTACCAAACCATAAGTGAACAAACTAGGCCTGACTGATATACATTACCTTGCTTTTCTGACTTTGTTAGTAAACTACCCGAAATCAGCAATTTCTAAAAAATGAAACTTGTAACAGCTCATTACTAAATACCTGTTCACCCTGGTAGCATCCTCTTGATAGCCATTACCACCGGTTTTGGTTTGTATTAATTCGCTCGAATGCCTGTTAAACCCACCAGCTCTGTTTAGACATGAAAGTTATCTTTGAAAGGACTGATAAATGTCGGTCGGTAAATGCAAACATTATTTTTGTGATTATTTTCCCTTGGTTTCCCAGTGGAATATAGGGATTCACTAGCACATAGATGTTTCACTCTACTCTCTGTAGTCTTTTCAACTTCACTCCACGATTACCCACAACCTTTCACTTCTTCTCCACACCATCTCCTCCATGTCACACTCACCTACCACACCCAACTCGTCGTGCCCCTTTCAAATTCCAATCGACTGACTGACCCGACGCGCGATGTCCCCAATCAGTCTTCTCTGTGTGTGTCCAATCCACTCCAATCCAACCCAGTCCATCTCCACTTTCCTCTGCATATTTATTGGGTGATGGGTTGTTGGTTGGTTTGTTGCCAACCAGCCAGGATTCCTTGTTCCTTGTTCCTTGTTACTTGTTGCTTCTTCTTATTATTCTGGCTATCCATCTGATCTTCAGTGTCAGTATCGAGTGAGAGTAGGTGGCAGCTGTTGATGAATGTGTGTAGTTTGTTGCAAGTGCTTTTCGTAACGCGCCAAGTCTCTCAACCAGGTAGCAGCACTGACTTGACTGAATTGGTGTTGAAAATGTGGATCTTGTTCTTTGTGCTGAGTGCAGTCGATCTGCACACTGATTTCAGATTAGTGAATGCCTGTCTTGCTGTCTTTCTGATCCTGGCTTTGACATCCTCTCTCGTCTGTGCCTGTGCCGCCTGTAGTTGCAAGGATGTTGTGTAGTAAGGTGAGTAGGTGAAAGAGACTACTTCCTTTAGATTTCTCCCACTGATGGTGATTGGTGCTTGTTGTTGTTGTTGTTGGTTGAGTATCTTCATCACCTCCGTCTTCTCTACATTCACGTGAAGCAAGTCTCATCTTCACAGCACCTCCCTGCCTCTTCTGTCAACTTGTATTTTTCGTCTGTAGATCTCCTAGCTTGTGCGACTTCAAACATAAATTTATGTATTTCTTGGTATCATATTCTTTATCCTTTCGACTTCATAAAGACTTAGTAAAAAGAAAAGAATGTTATTTTACAACTTGAGAACACAAATTTATTCATTACTTTTTTGTGCTAAGGCTGAGTGAAAACACCTAAGAGTTCAGAAATTCTCCAAACGCATGCATGTGTATACGTATTACCTAACTGTATAGAAACAATTTGTAGCTCAGCATCCATTTTTGTTGTGTTATTTTTAAACTTAGACCTGTTTTAATTCATTGTATTACCTCACATATAGAATTTCTTTGGAACATAGCATAAATCAATTGAAGGAGTAAATTTTTCTTTTCTCTTATGAGAATAACTAATCTTTCCAAGCCACAATAAGTTGTTATATAATAAAGCTATACATTGGATTGTTTTCATTCTTGTACTGTATACTGATATTATGAATTTTTAATTATATAAATATACATAAACATATGTATATATATTTGTTTACACTATGAGTATATTTCATGATTCATAAGGTTATTATTTTAATGTATACCGTTGAATAAACTGGAAGTTCATTATGGTGATATTCGATAAACTAATAATAGAGCTACGTTCGACTCTTGTATTTGTGTGTCTGTTTTTGTACGCTATCAGTATTGGACATCATATATATGTATATATATATATATATATATATATATATATCAGCTAGATAAACGTTGATTTGAACTGTGAAAAATCGATTCACATAATGTAACATAATGACGCATTTTCTAAGTTATCTTAGTTAATCAACGAGTGGAATCTATTTACTAACATCTTAAATAGCTAAGTAAAAAAAGGAACTTTTTTCAAATACTGCGGATTCTTTATTTATTATACTAATTGAAATAAATCACAATTTGTTCGGTTAAAATGATAAAGATAAACATGCCAATTTTTTATATTGTCATAAATGTATTCAGTGTTGCAGTAAAATAACAGCAAGAGGGAAATAAATAAATAATTTATATATTTCTCATTTATGACAGAAAGATCTAAATTTACTGAGATTTTAGAAGAAAAGTCTAAAGAATTTAATGAATTGTATCAAAATCCACGTAAAGATACAGCTAAAATGGATGATTTTAAAAGAATACGTACACTTGGATGTGGTGCATTCGGTCGAGTATTACTAGTTCATCACATTAAAAATGATACTTTCTATGCAATGAAAGTATTATCAAAAGTTGAAATTGTTAAAAGTCATCAAATTGATAATGCTATCAATGAGAAACGTATATTAAGTGCATGTAACTTTCCATTTATAATACGTTTATATTATAGTTTTAAAGATAATAGTTATTTATATATGGTTATGGAATTTATTATTGGTGGTGAAATGTTTACACTATTACGTCATATGAGATATTTCCCAGATAGTATGGTAAAATTTTATGGTGCACAAGTTGTATTAGCTTTTGAATATTTACATCATTTAACTATTGTATATCGTGATTTGAAACCAGAAAATTTATTAATTAACGGTGACGGTTTCCTTAAAGTAGCTGATTTAGGTTTTGCTAAATTAATACCAAAAATAAACGAACATGGACTTTATGCGGTACACCAGATTATATGGCACCAGAGATTATTATGAGTAAAGGTTATCATTGTGCTGTAGACTGGTGGGCATTTGGTGTATTACTATATGAAATGACTGCTGGATTTCCACCATTTATGCATCAAGATCAAATGAAAACATTTGAACATATTATTTCTGGAAAAATTAAATTTACAAGTAGTTTTTCAACACCACTTAAAGATCTTATACGTAATTTAATACAAGTAGATTTAAGTCGACGTTATGGGAATTTAAAAAATGGTATAAACGATATTAAACAACATGCTTACTTTGCTGATTTAGATTGGTTACAATTATATCATTTAAAAGTTCATCCACCGTATAAACCAAAATGTCAAGGACCCGATGATACAAGTTGTTTCGAGAAATGGGATGAAGAAATTTTTAAAACTGCTGATAAAGATAGATTCAAGCATGAATTTGAAGATTTTTAAAGGAGTATATCAAATAAACAAATAAACATCAGCGTTTATGAATAAGAAAACTATTCAATGACATATCAGCTGTTAGTTACCTTTTTTGAGCAGTATGAGATCAAAACAACAGAATTCATTAAATGTCGTATGGAAAATTGAAAAAAAATATTTGTAAGAAACATTATTATTGATAAAATTTATCACATCTAATAATTCAATGATCGATTGTAATTACTAATTTTATTTATTATTCTTTTTAGTAGACAAAAAGAAAAAAAACTAGTGTATTTTACGCAAACATTAGATTTATTTTGAAATTGTTTTCTTTCTAATCCCGGTAGGAACAACATCACTCACCGGGAAGCAGGCACACCCAGCTGACGAGTCCCAAATATATATATATATATATATATATCATACCATTGTTGATTGGACCTAACTGATCGGTCTCTACTTGCATATGGGCTCCTTTACGGATGCCTCGATATTGCCAGCAATCTATATATATATATATATATATATATATATATATATATATATATATATATATATATATATATATATATATATATATATATATATATATATATATATATATATATATATATATATATATATAGTAAAAACTATACCCATCGCACAAGAAGCGGCTATCGTGGCTCGGTGGTATAGCGAATAACGCTCTGGCGTTTGAAGCGACCACTCCTGAGTCCAAATCCCGATGTAAACAACACCACTCACCGGGAAGCAGGTACATCCAGCCGACGAGTCATAAATAGGACGAAATATGCGTCCTGGATTCTACTGCTAGCCAAGATCCATCATTACTACCATTAGAGCACCGGTGATATCGAGGCATCTACGCAGGATCCCACATGCTAATAGAGACCAATCAATTCGGTCCAATCAATGACGGTATGATGTAAAAAACAATTATACTGGTTACTTTGTCGACAAATAATACTTCAACTTCGAAAACTATTTCTCAAAGTACAATTTTAATAGAAAAAACCAAAACAGTGGAAATAAAAAACAATGCAGTAAGAAAATAAACACCGATACTAATAATGCTTTTCAAGAAATAGTTGTACAAGTACGACAAATACGCTAGTAATACATTCTAACTGTTTACTTTTGTAGACAAAATTTAGTGAAGAATTAATTATTTGTTGACAGTAAATTACAAGCATCATAGTAAGATAAGTTACAGGTCGAATGTTAAATTATTAGATAAGCCTTTGCCTTTAGTTAAAGATTTCACCTCAACTTGACATAAGTTTAGCAGTGACTAGAGTAGAATAACATAATTATTTGTTGCATTCCGCTAGTTGAATAAAGTACAAGATGGTTATCGTCAGCCGGTTTGATAAGCAGCTGGTTCTTTTGAAATATCACAGTAACAAAAAATATTTTAATGTGCATTTCCGTAGTTTACTTGTTAATATTCATGAAAGAGTTTTATTCTTGAAGTGAATGTGAGTTTTTTCTGAGAATATGAATTCGCTACAACTAGTGGGTTAAGATAAAGGTGGTTTAGACATGCATTCTCGGAGTTAGCCGCTGCCAAGCTTGGCCGAAGTATGAATGATCTGAAAGAGAACTAATGGAGGCCAAATAAAGGCATGGTACGAATGGATAGAATACCTTACTACTATTCTAAGATGCATAGAGAGGTGTATACCATACGGCTAACGTCCTCGAGAAGTCAGGAATCAATGGTTGAAAACTTCTATTACTATGCAAGAGAGGCAAATCTGTTGATGAAATTGTGAATCTTAACCAACTGAGATGGTTTGAACATGTGTTGCGCATGCGGGCCTTCCACGTACTACGAAGTGCAATGGTAGTAGATGTTGGATTGTGTTGTAAGAAGACTGAGGGTGACCACCCAAAGACATGACATTACTCGATTATGTATCTGACTCTTGGTCTGAGGTGTGTGGGGAGTTATTAACTGCCTAGCTAAGTTCCTCAAGACCACAGATCTCAATTGTTGGAGATCCTTAGTGACGCTGCTGAAAACTGGTCACAGTGGCACAGATTTATTTCTAAATCCTTATCAATTTGACCAGCCTTCATCTTTTGAATTCATTCTCTTAGAATACACTTTTATCTTCTTTGCTATCAATCTTTCTCTACTCACTTGTTATTTCTTCGTTGTTCTGAAGAGTTATAACATGAATCGATGCACTTCTATTTGAGATTCTACCTTGCTTTTGTTTGTCTTTACCTTAAAGATAAGTCTGAGTTTTTCAGTTCTAATTTTTGGGGTGTTAAGCATTCGTGCTTAAAGAGATATAAGGTTCTGTTGCCACTGATTTAGCCGCTACTTGCTACTGAATACAACTATCCTACCACTGTATATTTTTCTATTCCCTCACCACTTATTTTCTCTGATTGTTGCAATATTTATTTGTTAATTTAATGTTGTTTTGCTCCTGGTGTTGATAAGATTGGTAACTTAAATTTTAGTGTTCCGTGCAAAAATCTACTTCACATCTGACTTTCAGTAGGATAGCATCACAAGGTATTCAGTCTGCATGTTATTGAGTTGACAGTAGAGTAACGTGTTGATTCTAAAAACGCTTTTAATCTCCATGCTTTACCCATTTTAACTCATATCACTGACACAGGCTTGAGGCGCATGGCTGAAATTCGTAAGAGAGGCTGAAAGTCCCAGGTTTAATCACCCATTTCTGATGTTGGTAAGATGTGTAGCCAAAAAAACTGTGGTGATCGCTATCACTTAGTATGATGGATTTCACCAAATCATAAGGCATAGAAACTGAATGCGTTGTGTGCGGACATAGCAGTTCTCACTGATGTTCCTTTCAGGACTTATTCAAGAATCTCTCATTACTTTAACTTGTAATATAAGTTAATATCATGGGCAATAATAATGATACAGCGGATGTTAAAAGTGGTCTCCTTCAAAACTGAACTTAGATTTATCACTACACAATAAAAGCAGCTCTTTCAAACATGCTGAAAAGATAGAGAAAAAGAGCACCGAAAGATAAATGATAACAAAGGGTGTCAGTGTTTTCAGTTAGAGGTACATTGGTAAATACGGCGTTGAAATCAAAGTAGTACAAACGCCTGTCCTTGATAATAATATCGCCAAGATAATGAACAATTTTGGGCTGTAAGGCTAATCCAACGGTTATGAGGTGAAGTTTCACACATATTGGGCGCCGAGTGATTATTGTTTCTCTCAAGGAGCTCGAATAAGACTTCTGTGCAAAACGTTGGAATTCTTGTTTTAAACACGCCGAGATTTGTTCGAGTACAACTTACCTGATGCAAGGTCGACTGCAGTTACATTACTCTACATCTTCACAAACACTGTCGATCATCTCCATGTTCAAACCTATACTCCGATTCTGTGTTCATTTATCTCTCGGCTGACTGATATTTTAGTAAATGACTTGAACCAGATGGGTTAAAATTATTGTCAGCTAACCAAAAAATTAGGAAGAAATTCTGGATCTTAACTGTTCCAGTTCATGGTATAGCCCAAATAGTACAGGATTTTTGCAGTGCGATTACTTGGTAATCTTTGATTATGGGTAAACATTCTGCTAAAAGACATGTCGATACCTTCTTAGTATTTAACTTTTTTTAAGACCATGAAGACTTGGCCCCTACCACAAAATTCAGGTATTTCTACTGAAGATTGTCAGCTAATTGAGGAGGGAACATGGAGCCAGGTTAATCTACTGGAAGTATTTAACGAGATTTATTTTATTATCATATATATGGTAGAAGATATCGCGCAAGTCTCAGACTGAATTCATTGAAAAAGCCTAACACAACCTAGCAAATATATTTTTGCCAAAAGAGATGAAATGAATAATGTTTACGCCTTGATGTCCTTTTTCCTATCGCATATGTTCCTGAAAATGTAAAGATCATAGAATCTGAAAGCATCAACCAGTCAACTGTAAGACATCAATGGGACACGGGACAAAATATTAGGAATTAAGCAAATATAGAAAGAAGCATCAGATATAAAGTAAGTATAGGGAAGTTCTCAAAGACCTCCGCTGTTCATGGTTCAACAACCTGATATAATGCACACCAAGAGATGGTGAAGAATCTCCGACTACTTTCGTAACACATCGTGCTTCTCCTCTCAATTTTTTATTCAGTTGGTTGTTTGTATTCATCTTTTTCAAATATCGCGCTTCTACTACTTCGGCATCATTTTAACCATTCCACTATTATTTTGGTTTTGTTTTCCCAAGTATCTGGTTACTTAGCAGTCTAATTTTCGTTTTTAAGGTAAGTATAGATTTGATATTGTAATTCAGTCTTAGTAGCTCATACTCAGCCAAAAAGACTTATTATTTTCCAAAAACACCTTTATTCTTCTTTTTCTTAAATTTATGCAAGAAATCTAACTCAAAATCGCTTTGAATCAGATATACTGGATGGATTATATCGAAGATTCTCTGTATTCGAGCATATTATGGTCTGATAATTCCAAGAACTTATCGCCAATAAATTTTACTGAGTTCACCTTGAATTCATCTAAATGTCACCAAAAACTAACAATGTTTACAGATTTATGGTGCATTATATACTTAATAAAACCACATTTAGACTCTATACGATATTAAGGTCATTTCAAAGTGGTCATCTGGTTATTGGTGTTGATAAAAGTGAAGACTTTGGCTTAAAATACCATAAATGTTTCCTTGTAGTCTTCTTATCAGATCTATTTTAACATATTTAGCTTCTGCCTTCATAACTTAACTCTTAAGGAGAAGACACTTTTGGTAACCTGAGTAACTGATGTTATAAGTGAAATGTATTCGTAATGAAGCCATCCATCATCTATCTCGGTCAAACATGAAGTGAATTAAAGTCGCAGATAGAAGGGATTAGCAAATTTGATTCCTATGATATACGTTCATCAGCTTCTTAGACCATGTAAGGCGAAAATTGCGCACGCTGTTTTGAACATGCAAATTCCACAAACATGGACACCAAGCTATTGTCGAAACCTAGTCATA